ACTCTAGTTATCAATCTTTGCTATTGATGCAAAAAAAGAGCATGGTTTCTGGTATGCCTCTTGTTCATGTTGATGAACATGTTTGTAAAGTGTGTCAGCTTGGTAAGCAATCGCAATTGCCTTTTCCATCTGGTCAAGCTCATAAAGCTTCTATGAAGTTGTAGCTAGTTCACACTGACATTTGTGGTCCTATGAAGACTGTTTCTTTAAGTGGAAATAGATACTTCCTGATTTTTATTGATGACTTCAGCAGATTTTGTTGGGTGTATTTTCTTAAACATAAATCTGAGGTATTTGATGTTTTCATCAAGTTCAAAGCCTCGGTTGAAAATGAGTGTGGTTTGAATATTAAAACACTTAGATCTGATAATGCAGCTGAGTATACTTCTCATAGATTCCAACAGTTTTTGCAGCAACATGGAATTCATCATCAGCTCACAATTCCTTACACACCTCAACAAAATGGTGTGAGTGAAAGGAAAAACAGATCTATTTTGAATATGGCCAGGTGTTTGCTATTTGAGAAGAACTTGCCCAAGAATTTTTGGGCTGAAGCAGTTTACACTGCTGTGCATTTGCAGAATAGATTGCCAACAAAAGCTATTGAAGGCACAACTCCTTTTGAAGCTTGGTCAGGGAACAAACCTGTTGTAGATCATTTGAAAGTTTTTGGTTGCATTTGCTATGTATTTATACCAGATGAAAAGAGAGGCAAGTTGGATGAAAGGGCAAATACTTGTGTTTTTATTGGTTATAGCCTACAGTCTAAAGGCTATAGAGTTTTCAACCTTAAGACTCAAAAGATTGAAGTTTGTAGAAGTGCTAAGTTTGATGAAAGTGCAGCATGGGATTGGGAAAAATCCCAAGTTACAAACTCAGATCAGGTTGCTAAATTGCATGACAAACCAGAACTTGAAGTAGATTTTGATGATGCAGCTAATGAATCAGATTTAATTGATGATGCACCAGTGAGAGGAACTAGAACCCTGGAAGACATTTATAGTAGATGCACTTTGTCTACTGTTGAGCCCTCAAATTATTATGAGGCTACAAATTCGGATGCATGGAGAGCAGCAATGAAGGAGGAGCTCAAAATGATTGAAAAAAATGACACCTGGACTTTGGTTGACAGACCAAAAAATAAAAACATCATAGGTGTTAAATGGGTATATAGGGTCAAGATGAATTCTAATGGCACCATCAACAAATATAAGGCAAGATTGGTGGTGAAAGGTTACTCTCAATTGGCTGGAATTGATTTTACTGAGACCTTTGCACCTGTAGCAAGACATGAAACTATCAGACTGTTGTTGGCTCTTGCAGCACACAGAGGCTGGAGTGTCTTCCATCTTGATGTCAAATCAGCATTTTTAAATGGCAAATTGGAAGAAGAAATATTTGTTGAACAGCCAGAAGGGTTTGTGCAAGATGGTGCAGAGAATAAAGTTTATTTGCTTAAAAAGGCCTTGTACGGGCTAAAACAAGCTCCTAGAGCTTGGAACTGCAAAATTGATGATCACTTGCTGAGTCTTGGGTTTGAGAAGAGTCTAAGTGAGGCTACTCTTTATGTGAAAAAGAAGAATGGAGTACTTGTTATAGTCTCCATATATGTTGATGATTTGCTGGTCAC